TGGTAGCAGCATCCCGCTGAGTCCCCTGATGCAAGCGAGTCTGTGCGGCTCCAGCTGAGAGCTTAGCAGGCTACTGAGTTCCCAGGGCCCATGCAGGGTCACAAGGGAGGCGGTAGCAGTAACTTCCTGCCGAGTTCCCTGGTCCCCGCCCAGGCCGCTGAGGACCGTGGGCTACTGGCCCCCTCTTGCGTCCTCGCAAGCCTACCAGGATTGAGTGGGTGTTTCTGGTTAAGTGGTCCTCCAAGGTGTCTTTTGGCTGCCCTTTCCTGATGATTTGCCTTTATTTTTGTTGTAAATCCAGTTTGGTCTTGGGAGATGGTCTGTGTCGCTCCATTCACTTCGCCACCATTTTAGTTTTTTTGCCTATAGCTTTTTAAATGAGGAACGAATAATATCAGTTTGAAACTTTGGTTTTCCTATTTTAAAATTGTAAAATACTATTCTTTTCTCATTCCTGAGCCCTGAATCCAAACAATAAACAGAGGGACCAATTTTAATTTTATGACAGAAACTATATCCCCACATCTCTGGAACAATGTTTCTGTAGTATGAATATTAAGGAGGGTACAAATAAGTTTAAAATAGAATTAAGTCAACTCCAGAACTTCTCCCACCCACCCTATAGACACATTCCTTTCCACATCCTGAACCCTATTTCCTGTCAGTTTAGCACAAGTGAGTCATTGGAAAGGCCCAAACTGCTGAACTCTGCATCAAGTTGCAAAGCCCCACAGGAATACCTGACCCACTGCTTCCTGCTCTCACACCCTCCTCCCACTGACCTGGACACTCCAGCCAGGGTCCTCACTTTTTTTGCCTTTTCAAAACTGCAGGATGTCACTGCTGGGAACATTTACATTTTTCTTCCTCTGGGTTTGTGAGTTGCTCCTCAATTATTTCAACATGGATGAGAGATGAAAGAGATTTTTCACTGTTTCCTGTTTCTATGTCAGATGTTCATGGGAATTTCTATTTTTCATTTGTAATTGGACATAGGCAGTTACAGTTGGAGATACTTGAGATTTCAATTACCAGAGCAGTAGAAAAAGTGTTCATCTTTTGTATGATGCCTACTGAAGACTGAAAATACAGTTATACACTGATATCAGTAGAAACCAAACCAAATTATGTCACATCTGAAGTCAATCATCTCCACAAAAATTCCAGCTCTAGTTCAGTTAGGTGGAAAAAAAAAAAAAAAACAGCAAATCTGAGGCAAAAAAAAGTTTTTAAAAGTCTAGTTCCTTTCTTACCATAAACTTCATAGTAAAACATGTGGCCATTGACTACTGTGCTGGTGGAACCCACAGGACTCGAGGTGCCAAGATGTTCAACAACAGCCTCTTCTGGGTCTCTGTCCCACCACAGCTTTTCTGCGGGAGCAAACCCAACTGACCCCTGCCTGGGCCAGCCTCCACCTTGCCTTCTTTGCTGCACATCTCAGTTTTCCAGGAAGCCAACTTGTGTTTGCTCACACATTAGACCCCACCTTGAGCAGGAAGCATTTCTGACCATGATGTTCCCAAATCTTCATTTAACACTACTTCCTTATCAATTAAAGTCTTATCTGGGAATGAGTAGATATAGGCCTCGTTAATCATATCACCATCCAGATACTTCCACTAACTGGAATGGCTAAGGCTGAGGGAGGAGTCATTGTGTATCAACACTCCTAGATATAGTACATATTCATTACCACATATAATTATCATCACACCCCAGCAATAGCACCATTATTTGTCAATTTTAAAGGTAGAGAAATTAAAGCTTTGAGAATTAAAGTGATTGGTCAAAGACAAGAAGTTCATGTGTTTTTAACTGGACTGTGAGACTACCCTGAAAATATAAACATCACAAATCTATAACAAACAAAATACTTGAAGTAAATTTGGGATAGAGCAAATATCTTATTTCTGGAGGAGGAGGAAGATAGCTCCTCACTTCACATTCAGGGCCATGCAAACATGATATCATCAGAATAGAGGTCTGAGCCATTGGGACCATTATTAGATGAGCCCACCCTATTGTGAGTATCCCTTGGTTCTGCCTGTGATAGAAGAGTGAGAATGGGCGAAGAGAAAGAACAGCTAATAATTTGTTGTGTCAGAGAGTTCTCTATTAGTGTTTACAATTCTTTGCACATATGAACTTCTTCAACCTTCACAATAACCTATGAGGTCTCTTCCATTATTACTATGAACCCTATTTGACTCATGAGGTAGGTGGGATATTATATATCCCAGCAACCTGTCCAAGTCACACAGCTGACACAAAGCAAAGTATGGTTGGACCCACATAATCTAGCTCCAGATTCTAACCTCTAGATCAGCGGTTCTGAACCTGTGGGTCGTGACCCCTTTAGGGGTCGAACAACCCTTAGACAGGGGTCATCTATGACATAACAGTAGCAAAATTACATTTATGAAGTAGCAACAAAAATAATTTTATGGCTGGGGGTCACCACAACATAAGGAACTGTATTAAAGGGTTAGAGCATTAGGAAGATTGAGAACCACTGCTCTAGATCATAAGTAGATAAAAAGAAGTGCTATGCTTTTTCCTATAAGCACGAAGAAAACAAAACTAACCTTTGTGAAACCTTTGCTGACACAATTTTGCACTCAATCATGTGACCAGGCTTTGAGTGGTCTGGAATCTTCACAGAATATGTAAAATGTCAATAAGTTACCAATTTTTTCCAAAATATAAAATTAAAAAATTCTATTGTTTCATAATGCTACCTCTGAAATAATTGTGAAACAAATGGCTACCTTTTAACCTATGGATTCTACTTATACAATACATTCTAGGCATCCCAAGAAAGAATATGGACACCACCTAGTATCTGTACCATACATATTTCCTTTCTGATTTTGTAATTTCTAAGGTGTGGCAACATATTTATTTCCAACATCTTCTCTTCTAAGGACCCTGGTTCTAGTTCTCAATTCATAGAGGCCATTGGACAAAAGAAGGGAGTTTCGCAGGAAAGGCTGAAATAGAATCAGCCTGTCAGCCTGTCTCCTCCTACCTCAGATGCACACAACCTTTTATGTTTACATCCGGTCCATGTAACTCCTGATCATCATATTCTCTTAGTGTGGACCACAGTAGATTTATTGAACCTACATAAGGCCTTACTGATTACCTAAAATTTAATAAAAGCAAGGGTAGAGAGAAAGACCTGAGAGAAACCCAAAGAATCTGAGAACATAAGCCCTTTTCAGCAGGAATATATAGAAAAGCTTGTTAACATACCGCTGCTACCTTCTTTGCATGGTTATCTCATGTAGTACTCAAACACCCTCATAGAGCAGTAATGAGATGTGGCCAGTGAGACACTCTTTTATGCTCAGGTCTTAGTAGAAAACTCTCCAGCAGCTTTTTATATGTCAGACTAAATGGTCAATAACAGGGAAAGAGACACCTGATTTACATTGCATTCAAAGGATAGAATATTATGCAGCTATTGAAAACAATGTTTTATGAGCTGATTAATAAAATTCAAAAAAGTATTTATAATATAAATTTATGAGTATATAATAACCTTTTAACAATAAAACTGTTTTTTTTTGATAGAAGAATAATAAAAGGGGAAAGAAAATTCTTCAAAACTTTAAGAATGATTATTCCTGAGAGACTAGATGGTTTTACTTCTTCTACATACTTTGATTATCTTTATATATTTTCCTAAATGACCTAATATGGCTTTATCATAAAAATATTTAACAAAGTAATTTTCTCTTGTTTGATAATAATTTTAATAAGACTTCATGACATCACTGAAGACTCATGATGCACCAGATACTAGTATTTGATTGTTTTGTGCATTACCTTCATATAATGTGATAACGGGAGACTTGTAACACCTCTAGAAGATACATGTGCACACAAGGTACATATGTGGAAAGTGAAACATGAAGCTTAAGTAACTCAACGAATGTCAGATAGTGTTAAATGGTATTAGAAGGTATTTAATTTATCTTTGGTTATTAAATAATACTTACATAGATTATGAAAAGACCTCAATATTGCTCATAATAATAAGTTAACCAAAGAAGAGAATATAAAGCCAAATATTCAAATCCTACTTTAAAATATTTATTTATATATAATACCAAGCAATCCTATTTCTATTCATAAATATGTAGAGAAAAATTCAAAGTAAAAGTAAAGAATGGGTGCCTTTTACTGTCATTTTTTATATCATTTTACTCAGACTTTCTTTAATGAGCAACTGGTACTTATCTGACTTCTCATGTTTCCCAGATCTGCGTCTTTAGATGAGTCAGTTCTCTCTGACAATGTCCTCAATGCCAAATGGAGGTCATCATAACAGCAGCCTCACAGGAGTGTTGTTGAGAGGAATAAATAAAATAAGTAAACATTTAGAATAATATTTTTATTACTGCCTTACAATAACAGCTCCTCAATGGATGCTAAATGCTACATTAATTTTAAAGCTTATTATTACATATTAAACATAGCATTGCTTTGAAAAGACTCCTGCATGTGGCATAATGTTTATGAGACAGCTCCAAGGTCCAGAATGAGAAGTTGAGTTCTACAGATTGCTCTGTCTCCTATATCTGCTAGCAACTGCAGTCCAGTCCCTTCTTGGTGGCACTCAGATTACAAATGAAATGTGGGTGCCCTGAGTCATAAACTGTGTGCTGACATCTCAATTAATTTTAAAAAATACAAAAATACTTCAGTGCTTATGTATATGGCATCTTAAATAACGTCAGTGAGGTGTTTCAGTGTCTGCAGTTTCCACACCCAAATTCTGAATCAACAGCAAATCACAGAAAGATAAACAAAGGGACTGAACACAGCAGATGAGTCTTCATATTTCTAAAATAATATTTTTATTGCATGGTATTTCATTGGAAATCGCTGAGTAAGTATGAGAACCACCCCTGCCCAATCCCAAGATGAACACATTTATTTCAAAAATTTCTTTTCAGATCATGAACCCTCTTACCCAGCCTTTTCAGCACTTGTGGGACACAGGAAGCTCCAGACTGGTCATATCTGTAGTGGATCATGAAGAACCCCAGGGAACATCTGAGCCACCACTTCTTAGATAAACCACAACCAGCCCCGCCCTCCTGCCATTGGTCTGCTAACAGGGACCTCACTTCCTTACCTTCTCCCTGGGAGTCAGCTTGGTGTATAGGATGCCACTACTGGGAGCAGTCGTGTTCTTCTCCTTCTGGGATTGTGAGTTGCCCCCAATCATTTCAGTCTACAAGACAGACTGGATAAATTCTTTATTGTTACCTCTTTACATGTCGTTTGTTCACGGAAATTTTTTTCTTTCTTTTGCAGTTGGCCTTGCACAGCCAAAGTTGGAACAACCTGAAATATCAATTTCCAGGGCAAAAGATAAGAGTGTGCATATATCTTGTAAAGTATCCTCCAGCACCTTTAATACAGACTACATACACTGGTACCGGCAAAAACCAGATCAGAGTATAGAACATTTAATATACGTTTTCTCGACAGCCCCTGCTCATAGCAAGAACAACAAACTTGAGGCAACTAAAATTTTTCATTCTTCCACTTCCATCTTGAAAATAAATTCTTTAGAGAAAGAAGATGAGGCCGTGTACTTCTGTGCCTTCTGGACTATGTATTATGTACACAACATTAAAGTTGCCAAGATAACCTACACAAGAACCATCTTCAGATCTGTGCCCACCCACAACCTTCTCAATAAGGGTAACCACAGAGGCTGCACAGCTACGCGTCCAGCCTGGATCTCCCTCCCCACAGAACTATCCTTTTTTTTTTTTTTTTTTTTTTACTACAGAGATTACCTGTAATGTAAATAATGTGATTCAAACTGAAAGAGGAAATCATCAAGTGTCAAAAAACATATTGGTGATATTACATCTTATGTAATCATCTTAACACTTTTGCAATGTAATGATCATTTTTTTTCTACTTTACTTTTAATAATTTAAGGCCAGAGAGAGAAAATTCATTTTAAAACCCAAGTTCCATAATGCAGCTTCCACCTTGTCAAGCTATCCTAAAGATGTTCAGCGTTTACTTACTCCATACATTTTGGGGGTGGATGTGGGGTGCGCTTGCCCTCTCCTCCAAAGGGAGGAAGATTACTCATTTTACACCGAGGGATTGTGTCAGAGCCCAACCAGCACACTTCCTTTTGCACAGGCCTCAGATGCCCCCGGGAGCATCAGATGATCATACAACAAGGTGAATACTCATTAGGATCCTTTTCCCAGGATTCTGTTGGGATCCTGTGAGGATCATAGCAGTCATTCATTTAGAGCTGCTGCTCTTTCTGAGGCACTGTCCTAATTCATCTCATTTTTGTGACAATCTGTTGACGTGCTATCATGATTCACTTTTTATACATAAGGAAACAGAGGCTTAGAGATGTTATTTACTTGGTCTGTAGTCACCAAGTTACTGAGTGGGGATGGAAGGCTGCCTTCTCTGGCTTCAGTGACTGTTCTTGCAACCAAACCCTGCCTCTGATACACAGGCAGTAGAAATGATACCTATTCTGTAGTTCCTACAGCTAAAGAGAAAACAAATTCTTATTCACAAAATAATTACTAAAGCAAATAGATTACTATTCTAAACTTAGTCTGAATTTAAGTGTTGTCTTCCTACAATAAGTATCAATACCATGGCTGATTTGACTTTCAAAATATAAAGCAACAGCAAAATAGAAAACAGAAATAGTAACATTCTTTTCTTTTCTTTTTGAAATCTTATAAATAAATGAAAAAAGAAACTTGTTCTTTTAAGGACATTTTCTAATAGAATATCTGTTCCTAACATTCTTGGAACACAGCCACACCTACTCATTTACATACTGTCTATGAATGCTTTTGAGCTATAATGGCAGAGATAAGTAATTACAGCATAGACCTTATGGTTCACAAAGCCAAAATTATTTGTTATTCAACCACCTACAGAAAAAAAATTGCCAGCCTCTGTTGTGCATGGGGTTGGGGAATGAGTTTGTAGCTATAAAATTCAAGATGTGATAAGAGAAAATATTGATAACTCTTAGTACATGAAAATGAAACCAAAGTTTCCATGATAGCAACATAAGTTAAAGCAAAGGACAAATCACAAACTATAGAACATATTTGCAATCTGTTTAGCAGATAAATGCCTGCTATTTTTGATATAAAACTAAATTTTAAAAATGGATATAAAGCATTTAAATATCCTATAGGAAAATGGCAAAATGTATAAAAAGTCAATTCATTAAGAGAGATAAAAATTATTATTAAGCATATAAAAAGATGTTCAACTTTACTTATAATAAGATAAATGCAAATCAATACTGCATTGACATACTATTTCTCACACATGAGATGGGCAAGAATTTAAAGGTTTGACCATATACTCTGTTGGTTAAGCAATGAGGGGAAGTAGGCACTATACATTGCTGGTAAAAATGCAAAATGTAGAGGAATTTGGAACTATCTAACAAAACTTTGTATTTATTTACCTTTTACTTAGCAAAAAAGCTTTAGAAATTTACCCTGAAGACACAAATTTCAACAATATTAAAATAATATATATATAAAGTTAGTCATTGTGTAACTGCAAAATATTGGAAATTACATAAACATACAAACATAAGATATTGGTTGAGAAAATGATGGCACATGCATAATGGGGTATATACAGCTGTAAAATAGAAAGAGAGAGGCAAATTAATTATAATTCTATATACAGTTAACCCTTGAACAACATGGCAGTTAGAGGCATTGACCCCTTACATAATAAAAAAAAAATCTGTAAAAAACTTTTTACACCTCATAAACTAAACTACAGTCATCCTTCAGGATCCACGGGGCATTGGTTCCAGGATCCCCTGCAAATACCACGATCTGCAGATGCTCAAGTTCCTTATTTAAAATGGCAAAGAGCAGTACGTACAGTGGGCCCTCTGCATTTAGAACTCACAGCTGAGGATTGAAAATGCTATTTTTGCCCTGGCCGGTTTGGCTCAGCGGTTAGAACCTCGGCCTGCAGACCACAGAGTCCTAGGTTTGGTTCCCGCTAAGGGCACATACCTTGGTTGCAGTTTGTCCCCGGTCCTGTTTGGGGTTGTGTGGGTGGCAACCAGTCAATATGTCTCTCTCACATTGATGTTTCTTTCTCTCTTCCTCGCCCCCCCCCCCCACTCTATCTGAAAATAAATGCAAGAAAATATCCTCGGGTAAGGATAAAAAAAATTTTTTTTTTAATGCTATTTTTGATCAGCCATTGTTTGAATCTATAGATGCAAAACCCACAGACATGGGGGGCCAACTGTATTTATTGAAAAAATCCACATATAGGTGGACCCATGCATTTCAGATCTGTGTTCTTCAAGGATCAACTATACTGACAATTAACAACTAGAAATTAAAATGTCAAAAATAGCACTATTTACAAGAGCAACAACAGCCTATATAACATTTAGAGATAAATTTAACCAAAATGTAAAGGATTTATATGCTGAAAGCTGCAAAACTTTGATGACAGAAGTCAAAGAACAACTAAATAAATGGAGAGATAAGCCATGCTCATGTATTGGAAGACTCAATATATTTAAGATATCAAACTTTCCCTAAATTGATAAATAGATTTAATGTAATCCAAATACAAATCTTAGGAAGATTTCTTATAGAAATCAAGAAGCTGGTTGTAAAATGTATATGGAAGGCAAAGGACATAGAATAGCCAAAACATTGAAAAGATTAAAATCTTAGACATGCTATTAAAGCTTCAATGATCAAAACAGTGGAGTATTTTTGAAAGGCCAGATATATAGATAGGAGCATCAGAAAAGATAATCCAGAAATACGCCCACACATAAGTACTTAACTGACTTTTAACAAAGTTGTCAGCAAAATACAAAAATGAACAAAGGATACAATTTTCAACTAATAATACTGGAACAATTGTTCATCTATGTGGAAAAACAAAACAAAACAAAACATCTCAATTCATACCAAACACCATAAACAAAAATTAAGTCAAAATGGATTACAAGACTAAATGTAAAACCAAAAACAATAAAACTTTTAGATGAAAATACAGGAGAAACTCATTGTGACCTGGGTTAGGCACAGATTTCTTAGGATGGAAAAAACAAGAAACATTTGACAAATTATACTTTCATAAAAATTAATATTTCTGCTCTTTTTAAGACTGATAAAAACATGGAAAGAGTAGCCCAGGTTAGGAGAAAATATTCTCAAAACATCAAAAAAGAAAAAAAAAAAAACATAAAAAAATGGAGTCCAAAATATATAAAGTACTTTCACAACTCAATTAAAAAAGCAATGCAATTAAAAAATGGGAACGAGGACTGGCATGTGCTCAGAGATGTGAAGAAGAGGAAATGACATTGCTATCCTCTTACAACAACAACAACAAAAGAGGGACATACTGAAACTTAACGACTTTGCTTAAACCTTCAAAGAGCTCAGGGCAAGTGGCATATTCAAAATCTGAAGACAGACAGGCAGGGAAGAACAGGAGCTGAGTATTTGCTCACCTTGAACAGATGCTGTCAAACACCAATTAAGCTGGTCAGAAGATTAAACTAGAAGTTTTAAATAAACTAACAGCTGAGTATAGACCAGTTGGAGAGAGCGAACACTTGGGAACCACAAATATAGGGCATTTCCCACTATCTTTTAAGCTTTTTCTCCAGGTAGCCCACAAGATTCTTCTAGAGATCAGGGAGAATCTAGAGAAAGTTTCCCCCATGGTGCTGGCTGTAGGAAGGGGGCCACAGCTACTGCTGAAGTCCACCCTCACTTAATCTACTTCATTTCCACTGTAGAAAAAAAAAATTAATCTGCAGGAGAAGGCACTGGTGGAATCCCACTGCAGTTGAGGCAGTACAACCAAAACTTTGCCGAGAACCATTTCCCCTAACTCCACAAGGTAACAAGTTTTCATCTGCAGAAGAATGAGCTTCAAAACCATACCAGAAGTGGATGGATACCCACTGCAGCTGGGGGAGGGGAACAAGGGTAAAAATGTTCTGCCTCTGGAAGACAGACAGGAACACATGGGAGGGGACATTTTCAAAACTCAGTTTTATTGTTTCTGCTTACCACTGAGTCAGAGAATGTCTACTTCCCTGACCTCTCACCAGCATGCTAGCAAACTTTGAGTAAAAATAACTGAAATATAGAGAGGGTAGGTGGGAAGAGATTAACTAAGAAATTTATATGCATATATGCATAACCCATGGACACAAACAATAATGATGATGAAGGCCTGGGGAATAGAGCAGGGTGGAAGAGGTCAATAGGGAGAAAAGTGGGGACATCTGTAATATCTTCAACAATAAAGATAATTTTTTTATAAACTAGAATATAGCCCTGGCTTGTTTGGTTCATCAGTTAGAGCATCAGCCCTTGGACCAAAGAGTCGTGGGTTTGGTTCTGGTCAAGGGCATGTACCTGGGTTGCAGGTTCAATATCTGGCCCTGGTCAAGGTTGTGAAGGAGGCATACAATCTATGTGTCTCTCTCACATTGATGTTTCTCTCTCTTATCGACGTTTCTCTATATATATCTCTCAGCCTCCCTCCCTTCTACTCTATCTAAAAATCAATGAAAAAATATCCTCAGGT